TTCGTCAATTTAGAAGAGAAGATTTTGGGGTTTTAATTCCGTTGGGGAAAAGAATGGGAACCTTTTCCCAAGGTGAGAGATTTGTTCCCGGGGGAAAAAGCCGGAGTTCCGTTCCCAAAGAACTTGGGGCGGCGATTTCCCCGTGCCAAGAACAACCGGAAACTTGCGAAACGGTGTTTGAAAAGACAGTTGTTCCTTCATTGCAGAGGATTTCCAGCTCTCCCCGTTTTGGCACCGCCATGGCACTGAGAGGGAATGTACCGGGCCTTACCGTCTCGGACGCGAAATCCCTCTTGTTCAAGATCAAAACGGCATCGGAGGGGGCCGTGGAGGATCAGGGACACAGGGACGCGGAGACTGGCACCGTCGAGGACGCGGCGGAACTGTGGTCCCGATGAGTGCACCAGCCGCCATCACCGAAGCAGAGGATGTGCCACCCCGCGTCAAGTCGCGTGGTGCTACTGGTAAGTGGCGACGTGAGATGTGTGGCAGGGAAGAGTGGGCAACCTAGAAAGGAGGAACCCACCTCACCCCACCCACCCAATTGTATAATGTTATACATACCGACGTCTATGAAACATCATACCATATGACAACAGAAATGCCCCCCTTGTTTTACAACCCTGTGTAGGCGAGTTCAAAACAAACTGGTCAGAGCTCGGCGGTGTAGACCCATATGCCTGCTGCATCAGCGGCTGCATCAGGGGGTGGTTCATCGGTGCTAAGACTGGCAGTACGCGGCCGGTCGCATTCACCAAGCAATACTGCTGCTGAAAGCCGCTGTGGGTTATGCGTGGTTTGATGCCATACTACAATGGCCTGTCTGTTTTCTGCGCCAACGTTTGGCGTTTGTGCGTGGGCAATCCGGGAGTCAACAGCAGGAGGGAGGACCCCTGACATGGGGAGCGCGGGTAGCCAATCCACACGGAAGTGTCGTGGTTTACATGGGCCCAGGCGTGCAACGTTTTGTGTCAATGTTTGGTTGCATGGGCGGAATACCGGGGGCGATTTCATGGGCCATGCCCCGCCCAACGGAGAGCTCGATGGATTAAGGCATAGATTGCATATGGTGAACATATTCTTCTCGGCAGACATCTGCATTTTCATTTGTTTTCAATGTAGCTCGTGGTACTGAGTTTAGCGGTGTATCAGAGATTTGTCATTGTTTCCACCCGAACCTGTTCATGCATACGAGTGTTGTGGGATAAACTGGACGAACTGCCGATGAAATGTGGTGGGAAAACAGTGGGACCTCGGCGGCTGACTTGACTGGGTAATGCAGTCGTGGCCCTGAGTGCTTGTCTCCCGTAGTAGTAGTAGTAGTGCCAGAGTACGGTAACCAGGTGTGCAAGTTTTCCCACTCCATGTCGTGGGATCGAAACTAATACGCACATGAGGTACTTGTAAGCGGTCCTCTTGCAAAGTTTTCTGTAAATTCCTTAAAAGTCATGTGCTTTTGGATGCCAGCCCGAGCTAATCCTGCCAACTTGACAGCCAATTCGACACCCTGAACACGCTAATTCGATACCCTGTCAGGCCAATTTGACACCCCGAACAGGTCAATTCGATACCCTGTCAGGCTAATTCAATACCCTGTTAGGCCAATTTCGGCACCCAGACAGGCCAATTCGACACCCGGACAGGCCAATTCAGGCCCAGCACAGCCCAATTCCGAGGCTCCACAGCGCAATTCGAATACCTCCGGCGAGTCCGCCAGAACAATTCCAGACCTCGGCAGACCAATTCTTTTGTCAGGAATAAAATCCAGGCTAATTCTGCGACAGAGCTCCTCCCTAATTCCAGCCCGGATCCTACCCTCCTGTATGCCCCTGCTGCGGCACTGATAGCCATATTGAAAATGAGCAGAACATTTCGCTGGACTGTCCGGTGTACGACAAATTCAGATATGATATGCATTTCCCACGCTTCGAGCATATAAAGGACGCTATGAAGTGGGAACCTGAACGTCTGGCAAGCATGCTGGAACATATATGGTCCCATCGCAACCCTATCGTTCCCTTTGGTCGTTAGTATCCTTTACCACTTGATTTGTCTGAAGTGCGAGGTAGGATGGTGCTTATAGGCAATCTAGCAGCCCTTGAGCTCTCGGCTCGTGTTGGGCGGTTTGCAGGTACGGGGAACGCACCCCACGACAATGTAACACACACACACTCTCAATAAAATCTCCAAAATGCAGTTTCACACGAGCCGCAAGTAACGTGCTGTGACGTCACAAGAACTACCACATGAATGCCGGTAATTGTAATTGCGACTTGTCACAAGATTTGCAGAGAAATGTGTCTTCTTAACGCTTCAGAATTTTGGGGAGCTATGTTTGATACTCCTGTCCTTTAAATGACAATTTGCAAAATGCATCTCTCTTAGGTGGATGCCACCGAGCTCGAAATCTAGCTTAGGCGTCATATCCACTGCACTTCTGAACCGCCGGACGACTGACACTGTTCCCCTGTATTTAGACTGCTGACTCCTGTATGGCATGTCCTTCAAAGCACAAATAAGAGAGCTCAGGCAGCAAAGAAAGGCGCATCAGTTGTGCATACGCTTCGATTTCCCCGTTTTACACCAGGATTTGTTCTGCAATGACTCGCGGACGGCAACGCAACCAACCCGACGCCAGGCAACTACTGCAGCAAGCCGTGCTTTGTGAAATTGATCTTGCCGTCCACGTCCATTACACCTGGAGGTGCCAAAACTTTCGTCCCGCTCCAGTCGACAAATACCTGCATGGCGAGATTGGTGCGTCCGGTACGGCCTACTATACAGAACAGAAAGGAATGGCATGAACTACGATGCGGTTGTGTAAGAAATTGCAGCGCATCAACATGACGTCTTGGCTGGTTTGACTCCTTTACCGCTGCACCACTTTCCATGTGTTCGGCAAGGACAACCCACCCGAAAGCAAACCCTTTCAATTTTCCTCATGATATTCACACATCCTACCTTGAGCTTCTTAAGCGCCAAGAAGTGGGAGTGACTTTGCGGGAGAAGCGGCTGACACATAGCTCTGGCCATAAGGGCGCGAACATTCGCGGCATAGTCTTTAGGACTGCTCCGCTCCATATCCGTTGGAATGTAGGGCGGCAGGATAGTGATTTCCAGGTCGTTCCGCCATTGGCACATTAGCCGGACCAAGTGCCACAATTCCGAATACACCTGTCGTGAAGAAGTAACCGGTACTATAGTAATGGCCCGGCGGGCTTTACGATGGATGCCCAACCAACGTACCTGCGTCCATGCAGGGTTATGACCATTGATGGTATATTTGAGGCACACGGGCAAGACTGGCCGGCCGAGAACAAAGGCACCAGTCCGAAACTCGAGGAGCCCTCGTCCATCGCTGCAGGTGCCCTCAGGGGCCATGCATAACATCGGGAAACCACCCGGTTTGCCGTAGGAAGGCGCCGCCACCCGCTTCAGCAAGACCTCCGTAACGCTGCCAGTCACAACATACGCAACTGGATTTTTAGGATTCTTATCTGGTAGCCTGGAGGAAACAACTGCAAGGCGTTGAGGCTTCTCCTCATGAAAATATACAGCCTGGTATGCCCGCACTACGTATTTCAGGACGGGTATACTGGCAACACTGGACTTGCCAACACCCGAAGGAGCAAGCAGCCACATAATCGCTGGGGCATCCACATAGCTCACGTGGTTGAATACAATTACGGCGCCAAGCGCCTCAGCTTTGGCAATGTTTTCGCGGCCCTTCACTTTAACACGGAAGCCAAGCATCCATAAGACGACGATAAGAAACTCCTTGCTGAACAGAACCCAAGCGCGACGCCGCTCCGTCAAGGGCTCAGCAACAGGCCAATTCCAAGCCGACAAAGTGTTAATTAGCGCCACAAGACAGCAAGTTAGGATCGCAATAAACAACCTCACTGGAACCAACGGAAGCAGAACTAGCATCCTCCATGCCTCCTTGTCCGTGAAAGGAGTACGCAGTTCCAGAAAAGGTGAAGCATTCGTATCATAGTGCGTGGCCGACATTTAGGAACTTGGTGACGATAATGAATAATGAATGCATAACAATTGTAATTTCATTATCCGGCAATATCACGTGTCCTCACTGAACGCAACCCGGCAAACTACATGGCCCATTTTTTTGTGACGTACTATCCGGACGAGATACTTCGCATGGTGGTGGTGCACCAATTTTAATGTTTAACATGTATTAAGTCGACGGTGGCAGTTCGGGCCAAAAATGGATGTGTAAAACATGTACACAGTATATACTCTCCGGCGTATGGGTCATAAATGTCCATCCCAATCCAGGTTAGGCTCTGCAGCTCACTGGACAGCAACTCCAGTACCTAGTAGGATGCCCACAATAGAAATCAGCCCGGGTGTGTATCTATGTTTATAGTAATAAACACATGTGGGGCTGTCTCCGTGGCCATGGGATTGTGCAGACTTTGTTCTTCGGTTTTGGTGCTCTGTAGTTGAGAGGTCCTTGACTGTGTTGTATGCAGCTGCAACATGGACGCATCGAAGCATTGTGGACTGGCAGGCAGCCACGTTGAAGAGCAAATCGTGCATGGCTCGATGGGGATGTTGTATCTACGCAACGACAGAAGCATTTGTGCGCGCGTCTGAAGTTTTGAAGGCGGCCGTGGAGTGGGCTTGGTGAGGAGTACACGTGTTAGGACGTGAACAGAGTGCAGGACAGTGAAGCATTCATTCATAAATGTTATTGATGCGGATGCGGGTCCACACCCATCAATGAGAGCGTTCCCACGGCGCGTCAATCTACTTTGCATACATGGGCTCATTAAAGAAAACTCCTTAGCAACTTGGCATCTGTTGCCATAGGACATCTATTATCGGGATATCAACCCGAAGCGCTTCAACATCGACTTGGCTGCCATGCCTGGATACTTAGGGTGCATTTCCAGTGCGGATTAAGGCCAGGGATTAGGGCACGGAAGTCCTTGGTACGAGCTTACCACATAGTTTTGTTCCATAAGGGAACCAAAGGTTGGAAAGGCGAGGTAAGTTTGCCAACAACTTAGCCGTTTGAGTATCGATGGAGGACAGAGGGTTAATCCCTGGCCTTAATCCGCACTGGAAATGCACCCTTAGCAATGTTGCAGCAAGGGACTGAAGTCCTAAAACCAATGGAATGGGTAGCCGGAGGGGTATCCGTGCTTCACATACCGCAAAAGCCAAATAATCGGCCTTTACATACAATCCCGTGCAGTCTCTATAGGGAAGTAGGCCAATGATGCCGTACAACCTCTATAGGCCAATGATGCCGTACTGTCTCTATAGGCCAATGAACAAGGCCCTCAAGTCGGACAGTCCCTAAAGGGAAAATGCCAATGAATAAGGCCCTATCCGTCGCTGGCTCTACCTGCTAAGCGGAATCTGCAACAATTTTGCTTTTACGGTTATGACAGCAAGCTTAGATCTTTAGCCTTGTAGTGTGATTTGATGCTGGCTGGGTGGTAAAGCACTGTGTTCCGCGTCTGCGTCCATGTCGCCTGCGAAAAGTGGTGAACCCACTTAATCAAATGCAAAATTTACAATGCCATAAAAACGTATTTGTAGCTACTGCTGTTACGCACTTTTCGGCGGCGGCAAGATTTCGCACGGCATCATCGCACGGCCTATCTGCATCGCTGTTCAGCCAGTATTTGACCCAGTTCGTAAATAGCAAACACTTTGTACTACGTATGACTGCTTCTTTTCATAATATGTAAGTTTAGTTTGGTTTCCTTTCCTTCGTCGCATGTGCGCCGTTATCCATTTGATAGCCCGATCCTTGCCTCAATACATTCATTTTAAGCCTAACTGCTACTGTATATATAGCAATTAAATGTTGTCGATTCGCTGCAATCGCTGACGCTCAGCATCGTGGTCATGTTCTCCATGGCAAAGTGGCAACCGGAAACTGGGGATGTGGCGTCACCGCCGCCGTCCTCAATCCTACATCCACTCCACACTTTAAACACACTTTAAACCACACACTTTAAATACACTTTAAACCACACACTTTAAACACACTTTAAACCACATTACGACCAAAACCTCCACCAGAACCAACCATCATGATCCCCACTTGGCCATGGATGAGCCATCAGCATAATACATCAGTAAAAATAGGGGGGTCCTTGTGAAGCAGCTGCCCGCGTTTCCAAAGCACGTATGGTGTTGGATTGTAAGGTGCCCAAGTACGTTTGCGAGGAAGAGAATGTGGCCAGGCTGGAGAGGAAAGTGCAGTGGCATATTGGAATGTGAGATTAGCGTAAGCGAGTTACAGGGCGTTTTATTGCACGGGCGAATTTTCGTGCAAATCTTTCACCGTAGCATCAGTCCTCAGTTCACTTCTTGGAACGAACATCAGCATAGGTGCAAGCCCTCTCGCTTGGAGGGATATGCAAACGAGCATCCTGATAGGGGTAAACTCGCACGCTACCGAGCATTCAACCGAGCACATGCATGCTTAGTTGAATGGTGAGATGCGACCCCCCCTTCATTTCGTGCTCGGCAAGCCTGCCACCGCGTACCGGATATGTTGGCGATGTTACAGAACGCTGCACCTTGGTTTCTGTACGCATGGCGTACGTTGCTCGACCCCGCCGACCAAAACTACACGTGCCCAACTGAAGACATTCCCGGTGGTTGTGCAGCAGCTCTTGAGGCTGTTGCTGGCTGAAATCCATCCTGAGCTGTTGCAACACGGCTAACGCGGGCACGTCCCTATGCACAGCAAATAGCTGTTCCAAGCCAACAGCGGCGTCCATGTCACCGACAACACTATAAACGTCTTATCTGTTCTTATGTTTAATTAAGTTTATGTATGTTATACTTTGCGCAACTTTGTAATTTGACTTTACTCTGAACAAGGTGCTGCATACAACTGCCTCTTCGCCAGCGCTTCATCTTCCGCGGCAGTTTCACGAGCCCAGAGTTGCAAGCTACGACGTTGGCTTTCGGTGCTTTTAGTTACTGCAAAGCATCCACGCAATAGTCCAGCCTGCATGCCGCGTGCGGCTATGGCCAACATGCCCACCTGCGCAACGCGCTGGCGCACCTGGTCCTTTTCCGCCAAGAAAATTTATATACACTTATACAGGCGCATTTTGCGAATCGCACGCGCGCATCCGCACGGCAAAATTCGAAAGAAAATTCTTTTGGGACGATGTACGAACTGTTTTTGGGCACAGTACGACCGGACACATTTGTGCGAGGGGCTGCTTAAAAATGACATTGGGCCAAAGAAAAGAACCCCACCAGTTTAAATGTGGGGACTAGTGGCACAACTAAATTGCTATCACCAATTCAGTTGCCAAATTCTCCATATGATGTGTGAAACAGGGGGGTGTATCTTCGCCCTTGGCAGCTACCCTGCGAAACCCTGCCTTCCCCGGTATGTCGGGGCACCCTCATCCAGTCACCCTAGTCAACTTCACAGTGGATCGCACAGGTTCCGCACCCACCACCAGCATCCAACGAAATCTGCCGGGTCGACAGCGGCCCAACTCCATTCCTGGTCGGCTCGCAGGTTAACTTTATCCCAGGTCACCACCGTCCACCACCTAGGGGCGCCATGCCTTCCACCATCGGAAGGACTTTTGACCCTAACGGGTATCCCTAACGGGTATGCATATGTATACATTCTTCTTTCACTCCGACAATTCCTTGTGCTTTACTGTGGCAACAGCTAGCAATGTAAAGGTTGTTTGCACTGTATGACTGAGTAGTTGTAGACCGCTGTTTTTTTTTGTGTGTGTGTGTGTGTGCGTGCGTGCGTGCGTGCGTGCGTGCGTGCGTGCGTGCGTGCGTGC